CCGGGACATTGTTGTTCAAGCTGCTCCTTGGCATCATCAATAACTTCATACCCACGCAAGCTCAGGTTTCCTGGGGAGTCCTTTTCTGCTGTGTTATCCTTGGTTGAATCAATGAGAATTGAACCATCACAACCCTAATTAAACCAAACAAATGAATAAAAAGTGAACTGCGAAGATCAAGGAGCCAGAAAAAGAAAAAAGAAAAATGAAAAAAAAAGAAAAGAAAAGCCGTGGGGGGCCTGCAGTAGCAGTACCTCTATGAAGCAGTCATGAAAATGCATCCGAACGAGAGCAGCTGCTAGGGTAGGATCATTCTGCAAAGCTCTATTAACGGTATATTTCACTATCATTTCAGCAAAAGGGCAAGTCATTTGGTAGTAATCCATGTTCAAACCATCCACTGCTCCGAACTGATAATCACTCACAATCACTTCCATTAACATAAGAACAGTTAGAAATTTAGCAATGGCCATTTTTGCAAAGCTCAAAGTAGACTTCTTCAAAACCATAGTGAATTGAAGAAGCAAATGACCCTGATGGGGTTATTGAGGAAAATGAAACAGCACAAAGGCAATGTATATATAACTGCAAATAACAGGGGGAAAATGATTTTGAAAAAAAAAAAAAATATATATATATATATATAAATTAAAAAGGTGTGAAGGTGGTGTATGCTTCTTATCTTGTCTTCCACCAAATCCATTAATTAGTCAATATGATAATCTTTCCTTAATTGCATGTGATTAAGAGTTGCGAGACACCTATAATTAAAGTTGCACCACGTAGGATTGTCGAATGATCCACGTCGGCAAAATCATAGAGTTGAGATTTCATTCAGATGGGGAAGACTAAAGTTTGAAGATTTTTGGAAAACAGATACAATTAGTTTTGTATCTGTACAGCATTTTGTAGATGGATTACAACAATAAAGCACATTTACATATAATCCAAAAAAAATTTCAAAAAAAGGGGCATCAACAAAAGTCTAATTAAATACAAGCATACATTACAACAATTAAATACAGGTACAAAAAAAAAAAAAAGAGACCTGTGGGGTCGACCCAGCACCTTTGTGGGTGTTACAAAATCACGATGAATGTTTTCAATATATCCTTTTAATTAAAGAAGACTACATATGCTATTGTCATCATTGCATGTATTGAAGGTTGAAGTCAAATCGATGAGTACTGGGCCGGGGAAGGTTGAAGGCGGCGAAGTGCCTTTCTTGCATGGGACGCAGCTGGTTTCCATTTCTGATTTCAGAAACCTACTTGGAGTTAATTTGTCTTTAGCTATGGCCGGGAACAAAATGGTGTGCTACCCATTTTTAAAAAGAAAAAGAAAGTTATAGTTATCGCTATCATTCAATATATTAAGATTATTAATAATTGTAAAATTTTTGTTTTAATTTAATTATTAAAAATAATTTATAACTAATAAAATAATTAATATTTATTATTTCTCATATTAAAATCAGTTTAAAAAATAAATATTTTCAACTATTATATTAACTACTTAAAAAATAATTATAAATAAATGGATGACCTTAACAAATTAAACGGTGGTCATAACCTAACCCAAAAAATGATTTTCTTCATAATTTAATTCCCTTTAAAAAAATACTTAACTTTATCCTCTCATTCTTAGTGTATAGGGCACTTGTACTGACAACCAATGATATATATACCTGCTTTTTGAAATTCCTGTTAAAGTTGAAAGTCACCATTAAGATATTTTCAGATAATGAAGCATCTTCATATTGTTTGTTGTTTTTGTCCTCAGTGTTAATGATACCTTTTTGAATTATGGCCATGACATATATTTTCAAGAATGACAAGCAAAAGAGGCAAATATTTATGGGTAGAAGATTTCAAATCTTTGCAAATCCTATAACTATGTTTTGAGGCCATTCGCCAGTAGGCTTCAAGAACCAATTAGATACATACCCCTACTAATTTCAGAAAAGATCAGGAGCAAGAAATGCAATCGTATAAAAAGAAAATACCACCACTATAAATTGCAGTAATGCGCAATTAATGGATTAACCGTCCATTGTAGATAGACAAATATTAAATATCCCACTAGGACTGATTACATGTAATGCACTACTTCAAATTGAAATAACTCTTCGTCATCCTAAACTTTTGGAACGAGTTTGACTTGAGAAAAGAGAGCAGAGTGAATATTTTTTTGTCTAGATCAAATTAAGATTTAAACCTAATGTCTTAGTTTGATTGAATAAAAAATTACCCCTCTTTTTTCTTCAAACTAAATAAACTATTACTATGTTCAAAAAAACCTAAATAAACTATTACTAACCAAAGAAGAAAAAGAATACCCTGGACTCCTGCAAAAATTTTATGAGAGGGAACGGCTTCTAATTGAGGTACAAAACTAACAAACCAACACCAACAAAATTACGCTTTCAAAGTTCTCTTTTTCTTTGCAATTTTATCAGAGTATACTTTCAAACAGAGATAAACAAAAAAAAGTAATCAACTTAAAAATGAAAAACTGTGGTTCAAATCAGCAACCTACTACTTAAGACCTCTACCTTATTGGGCCAACCAAGGCTTCATTGACCTCATTTTCCACTTCGTGAGGTAAAATTTTATTCGACTTGAGTTAATGGTCAATACTATGTACAATAAAAACAGAACAGGGACCAGGAAAGAGAGAAACAACTGCCCTGATGCACCAAGGCCTGTTACATTATATACAATCGTATCTCATCTATGCACTTGAGGATATCTCCCCTGTGAAAACCAAGAAAGACCGACATACAAAGGCCACACACCAGATTTCATCAAATATCACAGAGGAGTTGCCAAACTCTTCCCAAAGTCACTGTTACCACTCACAGGAGAAACAGTCTCATCCTTGCATTGCTTGCTAGACTGAGTCATTTGAGTAGGGCCTCTGCATCTGTGGCAAACAAACCTTGCTGGCACTGCATCCCAGTCATGAATGCCAGAACACCTGGTATGCTTCCATACACCACAAACATCGCAAGCTAGCATCCTCTCTCCATCATCATCCTTAGCTCCACAACTGCAGTCCACAATCCACCTCTCAATCCCTCTCTCCATTCTAAACTTGCTGTTCACATTTTTCCCAAGGCATCTCCCACGAACTCGCATTGTTCCAATAGACCCTAACAAGAGCTTGGCCCAGGTGGAATCATCTACACCACTATAGCCAACCAACTCCTCAACTTGAATTTTTCTGAATGCCAAATACAAATCTTGAAAGATCCGTGCCACTTCAAGCTTGAGCTCAGAAACAGTAGCATCCAAGGGTAAGACAAGTAGTTCTGGAGGAGGATCTGGGACATTTTCTTCACATTGACCAACAAGCTCCAGTTGGCATAAGAGGCTCCAAGCAGGATATGGGCTCCCACCTGACAACTTCCCAGGCTCATAATCTTTTACAAATTGCTTACAGTCAAGAAGCTTCTCAGCTGAACTGACAACAGCATTGCTCATCCCTTCAGATCCATAACTCAGCATGGTTTGAGGATGGAGCAAAGATTCATATAGAAATTTAAGGTCCCGCATGAAAACTTCCTCAGATGGACACTTAGCATTAGCAAGAGAAGATTCATCATAAGTGGTGGTTGCACAAACATTTTGAGGTTCAATTCTGCAACAGATCAAATATTAAATTGACCAAGGTCACTAGGTGGATACAATAGTTCTCTAATCATATTAACAGAAAAAAGGCTAAAGCCAATAATCACCACAAGGTTTAACAAAAATGAGGGAAAAGGTCCACAGAGTAACTTTTTGACACTATAAAATAAATCTGCCACATCAGTTAAAATCATAGTTACAATTCAAACACCTCCTAACTATCTCCATGCTAATGTGACATAAGCATAAAGAAAATAGATTTCAGAAATGCAAACAGGATCACAATCGGTTTTTTGTTTTGTTTTTTTTTTTTTTTTTGCATAAATTCAATATCATTGCCAACATTAATAACAAACTAAAAAGTGCCTATAAAGATAAGGATTATATTTGTAAGAAGAATAAGACATTATGCAATAGCACAGAGAATCTGATACCACCACTACCATCACTTTATATATTCATGTATATCCATGTTTATGAAATACCAAAAGGTACAGTTCTAAGATGAACAAACCACTGACCTGTACTCAAAAGCACCTGAAAGAGGATCACATCTGGTACTAACTACCAATCCTTCTGCTGCCAGTTTTCCACCGAGTTCCTTGAGGCAATGATCAAGAAGCTCTGGAGGAGCACCTCTACACACAGCTCCTCTAAGAGAACGGGCAGGTACCCACTTAGATCCAGACACAGCCCTAAGCACTCTAACCATGGCTTCTTCCACACGTTCAACATCAGCTCTAGTCCAAGAGTGAATGTCGCCAGATGCACAAGTACGAGGCTTCTTATATGGGACATTATCTACCAAAGGGCGAGACTTGCGAGCATCGTGGATCAACCTCATCAAAAAACAAAGAAGGTCCCTGATGGTTACAAGCTTAATCTCTGATAAAGACTGGTAAAACAAGATTAAATCCTGCATGCGTGTGTGAGGTTTCCATCCTTCACAAAGAATGTTGGACAACATGAGGTTTGAGAGAGTTTCAATGGCTGATTTATAGGCATCAAGTGTGAGGGCAAAGCTGCCAGCACCAAATTCATAACCCCAATCACCATACCATGAGTGACCTTTGGTGATAGCATGGAGTAGCCGGTACTCTAATCCATACTTTTTTGACACATCCATTACACTAATCTTCCTGTTCATAAGTCGAAAAGACAAAGAAGCAATATTTTAACTCACTGCTGTAGCTGAATGAAATCTTGTCATTAAAAAATATTCTAAACCATTAACTACACTAGAAGCATGAAGAATAATCGGTTCCAAATTCTGTAACAATCAAGACTTTTCAAGATATTCATTATTATGCACAAGGTCAAAGCCAAGACTACATTTCCATTAAATCTCGTGACCTAAGAAACAGACATTGCGTCTCATACATGGCTAGGATTTTTAAATACTTTCTTTATTAATTGTGTGTTTGTGTGTGTCACCAAACTATAAATATATCCTCCAAGAGCCTGTCACCAATAGACAGTAACAGAGACGGAAGAACAACACCAGAGAAGACTCAAACTATAAAGCAATGGCATCAACATATGTAACAGATTTTGAGTAACATTAAACACCAGGTCAATAATTATAGAATCAATTTTTCAGGAAACAAATAATAACATGTTGCTCCATGGAAAGCTCCTAACCTGACATTAAGAGCTTTACACAGCCGATCCCAGAAGCTCATGATATGGCATCCAGAAAGGACCCTTGAACCTCCTTCTATCCCATTAACCCTGAGAAGGTGGCCATAACCGTTTGAATGGACAACACCATGTAAAAGATGAGTGGTGTCCTCCAACTGGTGATATACCCAGTCCTCTACATCATCTGCAGGTGTCACATGGTAGCATGTCTTGCATCTGAAAGAAAAATGCAGAACAATAGCACATGATTGGTAAGGCAGCTAATTTAACTGGACAAGATTAACCAAAAAAGATGAACATATAAAAATGGCTCAGTGTGAAAAAAAAGAAAAACAAAAAAACACAGAAAATCGTATCACATGAGAAATCAGCATGCACTGCTCCATCCATATCATCAGAACGTAATTGTTGATTCATATGATGTGAACACTTTTGCCAATAGTTCATCAATTTTTCGTAATGACTACTTTAGATTCCTAGTCTTACAAGTTAAACAAAACCAAGAGAGTCTTCAAGACTTACTAAATTTAACAGACTTAAAGAAAGACAGCTTCGAGAATCAAACAATTGAAAATACATAAACAATGTTCGTCAAGATTAGTTACCAGAATGAACAACTACAACAATTACTGTACAATACAATTTCATCAGAGATTAAGCAAGCCACTAGGTCACAAATCATGCACCAGCCATCCTAGAGGATTGCACATTAAGGCACGTAACAAACAAAAATATAATGCAGGTCACCTTAATTCCAACCAATGCTGCATATCTCCACAACGAGGGCATGGTTTGTGGCACCCACCAATGGAATTACCATCAGCTTTAATGATAAAATGGTAACGCTTGGAGCATACTGGATTGCCACTCCAACCTACACATTCAGAGACAAACACAACCCATTCAACTTACATGTTTTTTGAGGACAGCTAACAAAGATAAATCATGAAAATTACCAAACCAGAGCATTCGTACCAATAAAATAAAATAACTTGAAATGTTCCAAATTATCTCATAATAATTCTAACAGTAAAATCTTGCAATGGTAAGAAGATGCCTGGCAGTTGTCAATTGGACTATCACGTTGTAAAGTCAAATTAATAAGAAAAGAATTTTTTTTTCCTTTTTGTTTCTTACTCAGGAAGTTTCCTTTTTTATTTCAATTTCGAGTATACCTTCTAGTAAAAGTTATTACCACTATTTTACAGAAAAAAAAAAAAATATATATATATATATATATATAAATAAGAGGTTATTACCAGTACCACTATATGCCCCCACATAAAATCACTGGAAATCGGCAGCTGAATTTTTTGACAAGGGTACTAGTAAAATAACCTAAAAGAGACAATTACAACTGTCCGAGAACAACAAACCAAGGACCACGCGCGCCTGTCGCCTGTTACAACCAAACGTAGTTGATCGCTTTCATTCAAGGCCCAACAAACAAGAAAAAATATATACTCTTTTTACAGTTTTCTTCCCATAAAAATATATTCCTTAGCAAGGGTTAATTTCTAACATCATCAGTGGTCCCACGTTTCCCACACCTAGAATATAGTACCGTAATTTAAGGAAGATTCCAAGAACGCGATTCAGTCCAGTTATTATCGTCGATTTAATCTCCCGAGATTATCACGAGATTATCACGTCATCTATGTCGATATTTTCATATATACGCTATTTAGCATTAACAATATCGAAAGATTTCCCGCCACTGGAACCAAAAAAAAAAAAACCAACCGGCAACCGGTGAGAAACGGGAAACCGAAGATATTGCCTAGAGATGCGTGAGAGAAAGAATCGGTCAATAACTCGGTCCCAACCAACTTACCAACGACTCGGCACTGATCGCAGTAGACGGATCTAGATCTCGCCACGTCTTCCTCCACCACGTCGAGGCACACGGTGGTGGGGAAGGAATCAGGGGAGGCATCCGTCGTTACCACGTCACCGACCCTGAATAGTATCTGCCACGTCATCAGATAAGGGAACAGGGACGACGGAGGCGGCACCAGCGCGTGCCTCGCGAGAAAAGCCTTGATGTTGGCACGGAACGGCAACAGAAAGCCAGATCCAGGAGCGGAAGAAGGAAAGGTGAGGAAGTCGTAGAGATCCGCCGTCACTCTACTCTTCATCCTCTTCATCGGTCGCCCGTTCACAACCATAACAATCCAGTGGCGCGTAGAGTCAAATAAGCGGCGCGTAAAGATATTCCGGTGGTGGATGAGTGGTTGAAGTAGATCGGAGAGTGAAGGAAGGGAGGGAAGAAGAAAGAGCGAAAAGGCAAACGGTTGGTTTATTGGGTTGGGGTTTGGTGTTTCTTACGGAGAGGGAGTCTACTCTGTGATTTGATTAATCAAGTATCTGACTGGTGATGATTATTGTTGGCTTTTTATCAGATGGACTAAATTTTTTCCGATTTTTTAAGAAAAAAAAAACTATTCGGAACTCTCGAGAAGTTTTACTTTTAAGTTGGTCTATGCCCGAATCTTTTTTCATTTTTTTTTTTAATTCATTGCGGCCAAATCTTACTCGCTAAGGAACGAGGCCTATCGGCCAAGTGGCATTAACCACTATTGTAGGTTCATCTCACCATCCCTCAAAGGGCTACGGTTCTACCCGACCCCCTTGACAAAAATGATCAAAAAAAAAAAAATCTTACTCGCTAAGAAATACCGCTTTTAAGTCTACTGTTATGATATTACATTTTTGTTCTGTACCTAATGAACGTGGTCACTTTCGTAGGTACAAGACCTGTTTAGTGCAACGGTTAAAATTTAACGGATAGTGAGTAGTGGATAGTGGTAGTGGGTGACGGTTAGCGGATAACGGATGGTGGATAACAGAAAGTGGGTAACGGATGATAAATAACGGATTCGATAAATATAATTGTTTGGTTATACAATAGTTAG